CGTCCTCCCTTTCACACGGCTTAACAACAACAGATGGTGGATCGTCCTTCTCCTGTTCGCCCTCCTTCTGCTCCTGCCACTCTTCTTCTTCCTCCTCCTGCTGCTCCTCCTGCTGCTCCTCCTGCTCTTCCCCCCTTCCTCCTCCCGCTCCTCAGCACGACGACGACGCTTGCTTCCCGTTCGCGCGATGTCCCCCCGACCCGGCACTACCACTGCGCTTGCTGCACTTCGCTCCCGCAACCCCAAGCACAGGAAACGGCGTGCAGCGTAGTCCCCCCAGCCCCACTTGCACACACGATACTACAATTTCCCCGCCCCTCACTGCCCACGTCCCGCTGCTGGGCCCCGCGTCGATTTTCCCTTGCGCACGTCCGGCTGCCGCACCGCGCTGATGACCGCAGCGCCGCAATTTCCAGGGCCTCTGGGCCTCCGCACCTGGACCTCGCATCCGCCCTGCGCCCACCCGTGTTGTTTTTCGCCCCCCCGCGTGGCTTTTCGCCCGGTTCGCTCTTCCCTGCCCGCCTCAGCCTTGGCCTCGCCCCTGCACCGGTTCCCCTACCCGGTTCCACCCCTCCACAGGTTTTCCTTGGGCCAGCGACCGAGCATGTCGGCGGGACCTTTACAACCGCACGTCTGGCTGCCGCACCGCGCTGGTGACCGCAGCGCCGCAATTTCCAGGGCCTGTGGGCCTCCGCCCCCTGGACCTCGCATCCGCCCTGCGCCCACCCGCGTCGCTTTTCACCCTCCCACGTGGCTTTTTGCCTGGTTCGCTTTTCCCTGCCCACCTCGGCCTGGGCCTCGCCCCTGCACCGGTTCCCCTACCGGTTCCACCCCTCCACGGGTTTCCCTTGGGCCTGCGACCGAGCATGTTGGCGGGACCTTTACAACTTCTAGTAGTACAGAGGGAAAAAAAAAAAAAGATCATGAAGATAAAAGTAATTAAGAAAAATAAAAAGAAAATAAGAAAAAAGAAAACAAAGACAGATGAGGAGGGGAAAGAGAGGAACCCGTAGGTACCCCCTCGGTCCTACTAGTCGGGCCTGTGATCGGGGTCGACCGCAAAAGCCAAGGGGGATAATCCATAGGGCTCTCAACCTTCAATCATGCTCTGCAGCTCCGTCGTCGCCAGCAGCTGGCCTCGATCCCCGTAACTGCAGCTTGTCAATCAGATGCCGTAACCTATACTGCTTGGGTGTAACAGGTGCGGATTTCATTATAAAATGTATCCGCCCTGGGGCTAGGCCTGCCAAAGTATACCAAAGGCCGGACCTTGGCCCACCGGCCACATCCACGCACGCCACTTTTTGCACCTGCCGGGCCAGCTTTACCCACGGCCGCCACACATATAACCAAATTTACACTGCCGTCAGGGATTTCGGCTCCCCCAATCGGCTACTCCCTCAAAAGGCCGCACTTTTACTACCTCGGCATCGGGAAACCCCGGCTTTTACTTGTACCATACTTCGTTTACGCCAACCTCACTAAGGTCATTGGTGGTTTCTGCCACCTACCAAGCATGGCTAACCTAAGCACCCAACACACTCCACGCTACGCGGACCCAAGCGCTGCCTTAGGTAAATCAGCGGAACTCACCTCGGATCATGGTTCTGATAACTAACCTTAACGTCGGTTACGATCCTGCCGGTCCCTGCGCGATCCCACTTAGTGCGCGCACAATGCTAATAAAAATTTTGATCCCTGTCTAGCTCGTGCCATCGTGCGAGGTCATTAACTATACTATTGATTCACAGAATTTCTAAACATCTGGTGAAATCAACGTGTTCCCCCAAAGTGCACGCCCACGCACTCTCTGCCCTAACCATACACACGGCTTGCCGTTCCGACCTCCGAGAGTTGATCGCGGACCGTGCAAGAATGTGCTACTCTCTCTTAAGTATCGTCAAAAATGTGCGAGACACAAAATCACGCACAAATACCCTTGTAAGGGTATTGTGCCGGCAACGCCCGGGTGCCTGACCGGGCAGGACCGGCCGGGCGTGAGAATCTTCCTAGCTACTACACCCTGGACCTTTTTTTTTTTTTTTTTTAATTCTCACCCTTCCGTAAGACAATGATAAGCCTGGAACCCCTGGAAGAACGAACAATACGACGAGCAACAGCAGGGCCAGTCGGACAAGCTGGGAAGGGGAAGGAACTGAGAAACACGATTGGAAGCGGATCCTCTCACTTTTTCTTGCTCTGCATAGGCCTATCTGACAGGCCCTGGAGGAGAGCCTGGGAGGAACAAGTGGATAGGGCAATCTGACAGTCAGTCGTCCTACATGGAAGTAATCAATGCTGGTCGGGGATCCTTCGGCCATACGGAAGGAAGCATGAGTGTGTACTATGCTGTATTCAATTTTGACTTTCCGGGGGAATAGGAACCGGGATGGAGCCTCTCCCCAGGTGCTAGTGGTGTCTGCTCGTACCAGCACCTCTAACACCGGCGGGAGGGTTGGAAAAAAAAAAAACAAAAAAAAAAAAAGGAACCAGGCTGAAGCTCCCCAGAATGGAAAAGGAGCCAGGACAAGTGCTGCAAACCCGGTAGGACCGGGGGGCCCTCCCCCAACCGGAACCAGACTTGTCCTACCGGCCAGTCAACCGGGCCGGTTCCCCCCTGGTTGGCCGTAGCTCTTTTTTTTTTTTTTTTTTTTTTTTTTTTTTTTTTTTTTTTTTTTTTTTTTTTAAGCCCGGGTGTTGTAGAGGCCAAGGACTAGACACACYGTGATCRCTGGCAGCGGCAGCCAGTGGTTGTCCTGACAGAATAGGCCACCTTCTCTACCCTTCCCCACGTTAATGCTCCCAGTGCACCCCTATACCTACTATCCTACCTCAGTGTGACCAGTACTCAGAACCATCACCCTACCAGTATCGAGGGCAACTTGGACCAGACAGCAGTGACAAGCACCCCCTAACACTATCACCCCCACCCCCCTTTTCAAAGTTTTTGGGTGGGAAGTACCGTCCCTACCCTTCCACTAACACCAGCCCCCTTTTCAACGTTTTTGGGCGGAAGGTTAACGTTTGCAGAAAGCCAGGGAGGTTGTTGCCAATGTCTGCTGAAGCCTGTGGTTGCTGCGACCCCACCACTATCTCACCCTCACCATAAACCCCCCAACCCCCGACCCTCAACCCCTGAAATACGACCCCCCCTCCTTTCTCAACCCCCCAACCGCCCAAACGAAACTTCTGTGTTCAAAATTTTCTTTGCGGATTCGGGGAGATCTCGGCGAGCGCAGTCCAACCATGTTTTCAAATTTGACCCACTTTTGGGCCCAACCAGAATTCCGGTTGGACCACCGGGGGTCCAACCGGCCCGGTTGGATCCGGCCCAGTCCATCCGGCCGGTTGCAGGCACAGCCATGGTTTAAGCACAGTCTTGACAGCTCATGGCAAACCACAGCTGCCAAATTCCTATAGCCTTATAGGCGTTGATGATTTCACAAGCAAGCTCTATCCCAAAGTAGTTCTTCTCGGAGGACCTCGAAATTAGGCGGGCGTGAGCGAAAAGATTCACGTGTGTCAGCAGCCCGTCCATGGTACCACAGTAGCACATCACAGTCTTGCAGCTCATGGCAAACCACAGCTGCCAAATTCCTATAGCATTATAGGCATTGATGATTTCACGAGCAAGGTCTAGCCCAAAGTAGTTCTTCTCGGAGGACCTCGAAGTTAGGCAGGTGTGAGCGAAAGGATTCACGTGCGTCAGCAACCCGCACCTGGTATCACAGTACCACATCCCATGTTTCCTTTCATGCAAAACTTTCCGATAGATACCGTAGCTGAGAAAATAGAGATCCAGTAGGATAAGGCCCAGGAACAGTAGAATCACTGGCAGTCAGTCAGTGGGGAATCGCCACGTATCCAGTCCCGGGATCATGTAGCAGCTCAGTCCCAGGGAAGGCCCACGACAGTCCAAATCTTTGTTGACCGCAGCAGGGCCTGACAGGCATGGCCACGAGCCATGTGGGAGGCACGCCCTGCAGCCTGGCAGTCAGGGTCTGCCTCTTTCTTCGGTTCAGCTCATGCGGAAGTGCTGCAGCGTTAGTCAGTGCCCAGATCGTGGCTGGATGAACAGTGCTGGCGAGCAAGTAGTCCACAGTG